ACACACACACACACACACACACACACACACACCACGCACACACATACCCCCCCACACACGCACACACACACACAAAAGCTCAAAACGTTTCCTCACTTGTCCCAGCATACAGGTTTTCCCCGACATAGCGGTACTTCTCTACTTGCCGGTCCGGGCTGTGGCCAAAGATACACTTGTCAGCCCACACCTGGGCCGACTTCTCCAGATCCGTGTCCCAGTCCTGGGAAAAGTAATAAAGTAGTGAGGCAAATATATTGTGGTTTTCGAAAGAGTTTTACGGCACTTGCAACAAAATCTGTCCCTCTCGTTTTATGCAAGAACATTTTTGAAATCATGAAAACTGAGCCCCAAAAAGTGAAATTATGCGATTCTGTTAATATAAACAAAGAACGATAAAAGAAAATAATCAGAAATTATGAAAAAAAAATAAAAAAATCAAATTTTTCTTAAATTATGCGGGGTGCATAACTCCACGGGGACAGCACAATAAGGTCATATAAGTGCCGAAGAATAGATGTGTTACAAGACAGGAGGAGAGACGAGGGACGATAGATGTTGGTAAGGAAAGGAGCAAACCACATCAGAGCACCCACCAACCATCCACGCAAATATATTTGTGTGGCATCGTGGTGTAATAAGGCGCTCGTTTTAAAAAGAAATTAAATCAACAAAAAAAAACCCAAAAAACATTTCCCGCCAATTTTTACCGACTTTATTTTTAATTCAACAGTTTCTATGTCTAGTCAAAATATTATTTCTCGGTTGATTTTAGTTTGAGCAATTAGAAGCACAACGACACAATGACGGTCAGACAGTGCAAGGAAGAAGCAAGACAAGATAAATAGGCTACTTTTCGGATTTTAGCCCAATGGAAAGAAATTCATCAAATTTACAGTTTCAATTTTTACAATTTATCACGCTAAAGATGGATTGAAGGAGTCAAGGTAACCCTGAGAAAATTATAATAAAATCCCAATTGAAAGAGCAGCATAGCTGGTCTACTATAAAACACTGCATCTCCCCTCGACGCTTAACGGCAACAGAGGAAGAAAAACGAAAAGTAAAAGTAAAAGTCTCCAGCCTTTCTACTGCTACTCCTTAGCTCTTTTTTTTACTTCTGTTTCAGCCTCACCCCCTGATCTTCTGGTAGGAAAGATCTTCACCTAGCCTTCTCGGAAAAGGGCGAAAAATCTCGGAGGTCCCGTGTGCAAGTTGTGCAAGTTAAAAATCCTTTGGTGGTCTAAAATCGATAAGAGTAGGCTTCGGCTGCGCCCAGCCCACATTTCAGTGCAAGCTTGTAGATGATTTCCTCCCAAGACCGTCAAGACGTCTCCATCGCAGTATTCATCCGGAGACGTCTCTAACGGAGATAGACCAATCGAAATGCTTTGTGCCTCTAGGGG